GGCGGGCGTCGGTGTGGATGTGCTTCCCCTTCCTACTCACACGCACATACCTCCCCCCACATTCACCCACATCCACATTCACCCACACCCACATTCACCCACACCCACATTCACCCACACCCACATTCACCCACACCCACACCCATTCACATCCACACCCACATCCACACCCATCAACACCCACATCCACACCCACACCCACACCCACACCCATCCACACCCCCACCCCCACCCCCACCCCACCCACACCCATCCACACTCACACCTACACCCACATCCACATCCACACCCTACATTACACTTTCATCAACCATTTTTGGGTTTATTATTCTACGGATTTTTATTACAGTGTAGTTTTGCATGCATTTTTTAAGGTAATCCTAGAATATGCTGAGGATGATCAAACTACAACAGACACTTCTATCCTCGTTTATCAAGTTTGACTGCTTTGGTGAAAAATCGCTGACACAAAAAGAGAAACAAAAATAATAATAACAAATTCATCAATTTTTATGAGTTTACATGCCTCTTTGTCAATAAAAAAGGAAATTATTGAAATATTTATTCGAAATACATCATAAACGAGAACAATTAGTTGCTTTGATGACTTTTTAGAAGTCATGGAAAAAAATGGATGATTTATCAATGCTGATCGAGGTGCATAAATGGAAATCTTGACTGCATGTTCATAAATTCAAAGAAGTTCATTTGGATTTCATGCATATGCTTTAATCTAAAAATTAAACGGTACGATAGTTTAGTCCGGTTTTTTAGTATAATCATATAAACACATACCTCATATTGTATCTGTGGGCTTACGTAGTGTCAATTCGGTATCGATGAGTTGTTGTGTCACTCGTTTGCTGACCACTAAGTCAAATGTTAATTTCTCATCGAAGATCAAAACTTGTACAGGGATCAGTTTTTGGAATTCTCTAATCATCATATTCAAACGATTATTGATATGCATGACATGATACTTTATCTTGTTCTCCTTCATTTGTTTAAAAATAGTTACGGCCGATTTGTTGCAAGGGCATCCATCTGGCCAATTATCCTTCGAACGGTTATGATATTGACGGCCATGGGGTGGTGCATCAAGTACATGAAATAAAAGATGATCCGCTTTAGTACGCCATTCGAGCGTGTTTGCAGCATCGAGCCCATCAAGAACAGCTTCGGGATAATCGTCGCCCCAACCAACTTTGAGATTTTCCACGACGGTAATGGCTATATCCGCCGTCGAAAATGGAAATGTTCGAACAACATATTCCTCCTTTTCCGTTACATGATCACGATATGCCACAATCCCAAATTTGATTTCGCTTGTGGGTTTGCCAACTTTTTTCAGGCACTCTTGATTCTCTCGGATGACGCGAATAATTGTTGACTTGACTTGATTAAAGAAAGAACGCATTGACGTTGTCGTGCCAATGACAAAGCATACATCGACACCTTCGTATTCATCTTTACTTAGATGATTATCTTGACATTCAAATATATGATCACCTTCATGCCATGCTTTTAATGTACAGAATCCTATCTTTGACTCTGGTTGGTTTACCAAATCAACATGTTCACTACAATAATAGTTGCACAGAGCGTTGAGTTCTTGATCACTATCAGATACAGGCGATTTCCATCGATAATTTTGCCAGTATGCAGCACACAAAACTTCATCATACATACTTGTGCTTGCTTGATTCTCTTTCGTATAGTATACCATTTGTGAGTGACGAGCTTTACTATCACCAAATCGTTTCTGTAGACATAACTCGCCACCAGGACATTCGACAAGGTGAAAGTGACCTCGCCCTCGACGTTTGCAAGCAGCACCACAACTTTCAGGTGTCGATGCTTCTCCAATTCGATAAATTCGAATTAAACTCGGTAACATAGTTTTATCAGAAATTACAATTTGTCCTTGAGCATTTGTGCTGGTAAATATTCGATCTTGCTGATTTCGATGCAATGTTGAGTGAGGACCCATGTGACCATATGCATATCGACAAAGTGCCTAAAAAGGACCAACGGATAGTGTGATTCATGCTTTACACAAAGATTCAATATCAGTTTCATTTTCACGATTTTCGCAATGAAGTATTGAAAAAAAACGAATCTCTCTTACCTCACAATCCGGACAACGTTGAGTACACGTATGTGTACTAACTTCACATTGGTGTTTCCTTACGTGATGTGAGTGTTGAAAGAAACCAGGTCTGATTTGTACAGCACATGGACGTCGAATTTCTGTGACATCAATCTTTTCATAATCGAATACGCAGCCCATAGATGTTTTCCATTCAGCACGACTTGTTTTATACTCAAAGCCACATATGCCAGGGACTTCACACATCGCCTGGCATGTGTGTGGTTGATCACATATATGAGCATTGACTGTCGATTGAGTGCCATTACGCATAATAGTCACTTTGCTAACAGTTGCATCATGATTGTGATCAGGCGTGCAACATGATCGTTCGCATAAAACACAACTTTTCCAGCATTGTGTCGAATCACATCGATGTTCATCATGAGAATTATTTACTTCCAATGGAATAGTACACAACTTAAAGCATATGCACATAGTCGTACATTGATGAACTCGTTCACATTGATGTGTACCTTCATGTTCATAACTAAGATGACACTGATTGGTACAATTGTAAATTTGACAGGTTGCTTCGCATGCATGCCCATTGCTGCACTTATGTTTACCTCCATGACCCGCACGATACATGCAAGGAAATGGTTCCTCACAGTTATCACATGTATGCTTACAACAATGATCAGTACCACAGTCACAATCCGATCGAACTTGTTGCTCGAGTGTTAAGATTTCTTTAACAATACGACTTCGCTTGTCAATAGTTTCCAGATGAAATTTAATACTAGAAATGTCTTGTTCGATTTGAATAAGTTCTTCATTCATGTTTGAATATTGTTGGTAATAATGTTCTGCACTATTAATTAATCTTTTACTGAAAGGTTGCTGTAAAGTAGCTGTTTGTTCTTCGAGTATTTTTAGGTCGGTTATGGCGTGGCGTTTGCGTTTGATCAACTCTCGAAGATTGTGTAAAATTGTATTTGCCTTGGTAAATAGTAACTGTTGTTGGTCGTCGTCGAAATAAAGTTTGATAATACGAGTTTTATTAGCCATGAGCTTGTCTTTTGTGTACGTCAGAGTACGTTTTAAGTCTATGGATCTGTTCAAGAATTGTTTGTATTGATCAAGAAAATGTGCAACTTCATGCTGTTTCGTCGTTAACATATCGATCTCCGTTTCCTTATTTTCAATTTCAGTTTTTAGGTGACTTATACAAGCTTCTTCATCGCTCAGCTGTTGCGAAAGTTGGTTAATTATGCTAGCGAATTTTTCAACATTTTGCTGGACTTCATTTTGCCGGTTTTCAATACGTTCAAGCCGATTGTGACAAAGTTCAGGAATTTGCCGACTGATAATGTCATTCAGTGGTGGATGCTGATCGCAAAATACTTGAGTTTTTTCTTCCGCTTGGCTTTTTTGTTCTTGAAATTTTTCAATTTTTTCTGTGCAAGTATTTTTCTCAGTTTGTTTAATCTGTAAATCTTCATGCAAAATATCTTTCAGTACTAGATCTTGTTCACTACTAATTCGAGATTCCAATTGTGTAATGTCACCATTGATCTTCTCATACCTTTGCTGATAAGCAGCCAAATATTGTTGAGTGGTTGCACTAGTTTCTTCAAATTTCTTTAATGTCGTATGCCAGCTCATAAGACTCTCAAGTGGATCTATTTCAACAAAGCTGCCACTCAAACTAGTTTTATTATTTTGTAATCTATCTAAACACTGTCCGTCTCTTGTCTCAGTGTTTGACTGGAGAACGATGATATCGGAATCTGATGAATGATCTGTTTGTTGTTTGGTATTATCCACCGAAGCATTGTTTTCTTTCTCCTCTTGTAGAATGTTAATGTAAATCAGTAAAAGGTTCGCCAAACTTGCTGTTGTACTACTTTCAACTTTAACTCTTTCTAAGTTCAATTTTTGTTGTTCAGATTCCAATCCTTCAAGCTGTGTTTGCTGAATAGTCTTAGTTTGATCCAAGGTTTCTTTGTTCATTGCATGATGATTCGAACTATTTTGAAGTTCAGCCAAGTGGTTGCTTAGATGTTTTAAACGATTACACATATCATCACGTTGTATTGACCTTGAAGCTAATTGTCCATTTAAGATCGTCTGCACTTGGGTGACAACTTGAATGCATCTTTCAATATTTCCCAAATTCTCTTTCATGATATATTCGATAGGGACACGATTATCCTTGACATCGGACAGTATGGGAAATACTAATATTTCTTCTTTATTCTCCGCATCATTCGGCCAACATTCTAGTCGCTTAGCATCTGTGATAAACATACGTAGTGCAGCCTTCAGTTCATCCGAATTGTAGAAGGCTGGAGAAACAAGGTCTTTGATTTGATCAAATAAATAAGTCGTATAGTTGGATGAATTCAAAATATCGTTTTCGAATATGACCTGAGTATGGCATTGTTGTTTAATTTCGACTAACGCTTGTTCATCTCGTTTCATATCTTCCTGTATCTCCTTCAAGTCTGCTTTTTTCAATGTCAACTTTGTCTCAAGTCCAGTTCTCTTTTCTATATATCTTTTCATCGTTTCGACTTCGACCAATTTTTCTCTGATTTTCTGACGTTGTTCTGATTTATCACTAAGTTTCTTCTCCATGGAAATAATATCATCTGTCTTTGAAGAATTTCCAGTACCGAAAGTCTTCTCGATTGAATTCAATTCGTCTTTTTTCTGTCCGAGTACGTATTTCAATTCATCTGTATGTTTCTGTATCTTCGTACATAACAAATCGCACAACGAACACTTTTGTAGACAGGTGCGGACAGAAAATTTTGCAGCATAATCATTAATGAATTTTTCAAAATTAGCACATTGTGTTTCACGATAATCGGCATCTTCGACAAAGACTTTGGTTCGAAATCGGTCGATCATAATTTCTTTCACTTGTGCTAATCGGTAGTCGAAAATTAAAGGAATCGTTTCGTTAGCGACTGACCATTTTCGATTAGCTACATCTTTGTAGTTAATGTCATTCTTATTCGTATGGATATTCAAACACATTGATAACAGTTGGCACAGTCTTTCATAGTTTCCGAGGCGATCTTCATGATCTAATAGTAACTTGTGTTGATCCATATCAAAAGAATACGACTGATTGTCAAGCTGAACTGTAATATCATGGTTAGTTGGAATAGATGGAGAATCAGGCAATTGGAATGAACACCAGAGAGTACGAGCTTCTCCTTCGAGCTCTGCAAGTAAAATATTCAGATGAATACGACGTGAATCACAAAAATCGTTTGTATATAATTGAATAAGAAGTATTTTCATCAGAAGTGCCAAGGTTGCACCATTCGGCCAGCGATTTGTTGCTCGACATGTATTATTTATGAGCACATCACGTAATGCTTGAATTTCTTGATCGAAATTGATATTTTCGAAATGATGAAGAAGATGAACAGAGAATTCACTTGAATAAAGTTGAGCAAGGAATTGGTCTTGACCTTTATTTTTAATATCGACAAACTTTTTGTATGCAGCAGCGTGTGCGTCAGATGCTTCATTATCGGCAATATCACGAATAGTGACTAATAGGTTGCCTTTGAAAAAATCTGTGCTTTTTACAACTTTGCTGATTGTTTCAGAGAGAAGAACGAACAGCCGATCTTGATAACGATCGAAACTCAAGTCTTGATTCAAAATGGTGACATCACACATGGCTGCCAGAAATCCAATCAGTTTGATTTCTTCATCTTCGGTTCTTTCATTGCTAAATAATCCTTCACAATCGAAGACAAGAAAATGAACATTGTTGACAAACGCATAATTCATCCAAATACCATCTGTGCAACGACCAGCGGCTACTGAAAAACGTGTACCAAAAATACGATTCATCATATAACTCTTTCCAGTCGATTGCCGTCCAATAATACCAATCAGTCGAATATCACTGTTAATATCGTTTAGAATCGAATCCAAATATGAAAATAGGATATCTTTTGTTTTTGTTTCAATATCAAATGTTTGTTTCTCGACAATTGTATCCAGCGTTCGCCGTTTTCCATTACACAATGGAATGAGATTACCACCTTCAATTGTGCATATTTGTATCGGAACTCTACTTAGCAAAATACGTGAGATTTCATGTGGATCATCGCATATTGTCATCAACAAATCGAGACTCATTTGATGAAAATGTAGTTCAGCTGAAAGTTGCAAATCACTAAAATATTGAGTGATAATTTTATTATAATCTGTATTGGGCACTATCATATGATACTGTGTCTTCTTGCGAGATGCATTGAAGCCAAACTTGAGCTCGCCCCATTTAATTGTGTCTAGTAGCCAATTTCCAATAGGTTTCGATGCTTTGTTCAGATCTTTGTCACTTTCTTGTCGATGAATACAACTACTAGCTACGAGATTCTGTAGATGATAGACAATGTTAGGTGTGGAGCTAAGATGAATTACCAAACAATAAGTATCGACGAAATCTGTAAAGACATGCAAGCGATAATCAATCGATGATGAAGATTGATTTAAGTCTAGACAAAGAAGACGACAATAATTTTGGTCAAATATATCAATTGTTTCTTGAGATTGAAAAAAGAATATGCTTGGGTCACCGATCGTTTGGACAGACATGAACTTAGGGAGCTTTGTTTGGTTCCCTGTCTCATCAGTTAGACATACTGAACAGATAATAGCTGTTTCGTCAGTACCCTGCGGTAATTTGATGGAAAATACACGACTGTATTCATCGAGCAGAATGATTTGTTCATTCGATACTGTGAGTGCTGCTGAAAGGACACCTTGGGGTTTTGCATCACCTCGAAATTCTGGTAATACGATATCGCTTTTCCATTTTCCGAAATCATCGTAAGAACATCGACACATTTCCCATTTATCACAATCAATAATGAATGAAAGTTGTGTCAGAGATGAATAAAGATAACACATATTATTGATCGCATATTCAACGAGCTTTTTCAAATGCCCATTAGAGTGAAGAAGAACAGTGTGACGAAATCGGTTCATCTGCACTTTTCCATTATCAATATGATGTCGTTTAAAAATAATCAGCTCGTTTTGTTTAGTGTTGACACTGACACATGCTTCTACGTTAACTGATGCAAGATACTTCTCTCGTATTGGTTTCTCAAGCGATGCTGTTCCAAACATTGTATGAAGATCACTTGCGTTGAACTTCAAAAGGGAAGTGCAGGTGGCCGTAACTCGTTGAAGGTGACGATTGTTATCAAAAATTGCAGTATAATCAACTCGTTGCAGATTTAATTGTAGTTCAATTTTTGATAATGAAACTTGTTTGACAATATCGGCGACTATACCCTTTTGGATTTCAGCAAGTTCTCTTCGAGAATCATATCTAGACAATTCAGCAATAAAATCTATTTTGTTGATCATTTTATTGAAGAACTTCTCATCTTTTTTGTCTGCAGGATAATAAGTTCGGAAATAACAGATAAGATTATCTAAAAATTTTTCCGTTGATATACTGAGGTCTTTCGTATTTAAAAGCCATTGAGCAACTTGTTGAGTTAAGAAATCACGAATTTGATACTTGTAATTATTTGCTGATGATAATGAATCGATCAATGGATCCCAAAATGAATTGATCTTGAACATAGATCGTACAATATCATCCACTTCAGATCGTCGATTAGCAACAACTATGTTGTATTTGTTGCAGATCTCAATGATATTTTGTTCAAGTTGTTTTTCTAGTAATAGTTCAAATTTTCCACAAATATCACGAATATTAGCTACTGTGATCATATTACAGTTTGATGTGCTTTCCATGAATGCCATAAGTAAATATTCATTTAATTTATCATAATAATCTGCAGGGAGCGGCTGATTGGCTTGCTTATACACATAATAACTATATGGCAAAGTGCTTGTCACTACGGGCTTCGCTTTCGAAGGGATATTTTTAACTATGTTTTCAGTGTCAAGATGAACTCTTTGATGTACACAGTCAGTACGTTTTGTCTCTACAAGCTTGTAAGCACGCGCTGCATGAGGTTTTCCTTTGAAAGGATGCTCGCGGCAAAAATTCGTGAAAAATTTTAACGATGGACAGAGAATAATATGTTGACACAGGTCTTGTAGAAATTTTTGTAGGATAATAACGAGATTTTCTCTCGACTGAACTTCTTGTGATGTTGTTAAGACAAAAACAAGCATCGTCTTGTTAGACAAAGCCCAAATACATGGTTGTTTGTTAATACCGTCAGTAGATCTTGGTATCATGATTTGCATAATTATTTCAATTATTTCGGATGAGAAGTGTGCTCGAAGGAACTCAATTATCATCAGTTGCTCTTCGCCAAACACACCGAAGATGTTCATGACATTCGATGATACATTGAGCATTGCAGATATGCGCATGATTTGTTCTGGTTCTGCGACCACCTTGCATTCATCATACACAGGTGATACATCACGTTCGATGTAAAAAAGTCGTCCGATTTGAAAATCTTCATTTCTTTGTGGATTACCCATCTACAACAGGTAAAATTCATCTAGGCTAATCTCATCGAGATAGAATTTTAAAAACAATCGTAATTATCACCAATTTTGTGCTGGTTGTCAAGTCACATATACTACAGGTTCTCGATCAGTATTGGAAAGAAACCGCCAAGGTAAAAAAAATGGATTCCAGACCTTAGAGTCTCACAAGCTCCCATCAGCTCCCACGCTATCGCATGAAATTCTAATTGCTGCAAAAAACATTGACAGGCCTCAAGTTTCTTGCTTTAACAAGGCTTGGCAAGTAAAAACACTGTGTCTTAAGCTGTTATTGTACGTTTAGACGATATTCTTCATGAAATAAAGAGGAGTTATTACTGGGAGTACCGATTTCAAAACTTTTCATCGTTCATAATCTTTGTAAGAAATAATGGAAAGAGAAACAACTGATCCCATTTAATTCCGAATTGAAACTGAAGCCAGCAGAACCATATTGAAATCAAAATCCAATCCAAACGAAATCAAACTGATACCCAACAGTATCAGTACATCTTCTTTTTTGTCGAAATGCACATCAAATAAGCTTTCTATCCCTTATATTGTACGTTTCGGAAGTATTGCTGAGAGATCGCCATAGGTGTCCGAGGACGAGAATGCCGAACTTAGAGTTAAGTTTCTCATTAGTACAATGGATGTGCTTAGGGTGTGATTGGAGTGTGGATGGATGTGGAGTGGGTGGATGTGAGAGTGGGCGGACGTGGGTGTGGGTAGGAGCATGGATGTGGCTGGGTGTGGGCTGCTGTGAGTCTGAACTGTGTGAGTCTGGACGGTGTGGATGAACGTAGGTACAGAGAGCGTGGGAGGGTGTGGGTCTGAAGGGTGTGAATGTAGCTGGGTGTCGGCGGGTGTGGATCTGGAGGGTGTCAGTGGGAGTGGGTGGATGTGGGTGTAGACGGGTTTGGGTGTCGAGGGTGTGGGTGTAGGTGTAGGCGTGAATTTCGATGATAAGAACACCCAAACCCACACCCAGTCCCACACATTAGCTACACTCATACCCAGTCACACACCCTAGCTGCATTCACATCCTAACCGTACGCGAACTGAAAACAGCACTATTCAGTGGCTGGACTTACGTAATATGAAGTCTTGTGAGATATTATCGAATAGAAAGCGGTCGTTTGCTTTGAAGAAATGAAATGAGAGAAGCAGCAACTTCACCTACCTTATATATGGGCGTACTCAGTCAGCATGGTACCCATTAATATTTTGTTTTGATACAGTCCTATTGTAAGGATAAAACATACTATTGTTCGGGTCATATCAGAGAGGATCCAGATAATCCTGTATTGGCCCGAACAACACCATGGTTTATCCTTACAATAGTAGAGAAAAATACCAACTCACAGATAGCTTTCCTCTACTATCGTAAGGATAAACCATGTTGTTGTTCGGGCCAATACTGGGTTATCTGGATCCTTTCTCATATGGCCCGGACATTAGTATGTTTTATCCTTACAATAGGACTGTATCAAGAAACATATTAATGGGGTACCATGCTGACTGAGCACGTCCACATATATATATACATACTATTTCCTAGTTACCAACCTATCACTCAACTTTTTCTTTAGAGGATATTTGTCTTAGTCTTCCACGAAATTATTTCATAGGTTGATTTTGCAACTTTTCTAAGCGTCTCTGATTAATTCTTCCTTTTTTTCGACTTTTTTAAATAGAAAAAACGTGCGTCAATAGTGATTTATTTATAAATCAACACCAGAACGCAAAAACATTTGAATACATATTCCTACTTTTCAACATTACCTCATCACTTTTCTTTCCTACTTTCCAAATGAGGGTGTGGGTGTGGGTGTGCGGGGTGTGGGTGTGCGGGGTGTGGGTGTGGGTGGGTGGGTGTGGGTGTGCGGGGTGTGGGTGTGAGTGGGTGTGTGTCGGCTGTGGATGCACTGTAACCAAAGAACACCCACACCCACACCCACACCCCACCCCCCCCCCCACCCCCA